ACAACATTGAGATACTGTCTCACCCCAGCACTGATGGCAAGGTTCAACGAGACAGAAAATAACAAATGTTGGCAGGGATGTGGAGAGATTGGGACTCTCATACACTGCTGATGGGACTGTCAAGTGATACAACCACTGTGGAAAGCAATATGGTGATTCCTTAGAAAGCTGGAATTGGAGCTACCATTTGACCCAAGAATCCTATTACTAGGTATATATCTTAGAGAGCGGAGAGCCAGGACAGGAACAGATATATGCACACTCATATTCATTGCAGAAGTATTTACAGTAGCAAAAAGATGGAAACAATCTATGTGCCCATCAGTGGAAGATTGAATGACCAAAGTATGGTACATACACATAATAGAATGCTGTGCAGCACTAAAAAATAATGTAGAGTCTGCAAAACACTGCATAATATGGATGAACTTGGAGGGCATTATGTTGAGTGAAAGAAGTCAATCACAGAAGGACAAATATAATATTAGTTTGTTGTTGTGAAGGGTCAAGGAAAGGTTTATATATGTAGGGAAACTTTCTTTGTTGGTTGCCAGGGGTGGGAGGGGAGGGGAAGGAACACTGCCAAAAAAAAAAAAATGCATTGACCCATGTCACTTTAGTTTTGTGTATTTCACTGTACATAAATTATATTTCAATAAAATGCATTAAAAAAAAAAAAAAAAAAAACCTCTAGGTTCCTGACGTCAGCATTTGTCCCTAGGGCAGCTCTAGCTCTGGGTGCCATAGCTCACTGTTCTCATTGTAGCTTGCTCTTCCTTTATTAGACCATTGTCGATTTCCTTTTCTTTCTGCAAGTTCAGCAATCCACTTAAATGTGAATTTGTTGTCTCTGATCCAAAGGCAGTTGTATCCTGTGAGGGTGCTTTGGGCAGTATTTGGTCTCTGATGGCATAGTGCTGAAGGCATTTGACTGTTAACCAGAAGGTTGGTCATTCAAACCCAACAGCCACTCCTCGGAAGGAAGATTGGGCAATCTACTTACATAGAGATACCACCTCAGAATCCCAAGGAGGGGTCACTATGAGTTGAATTGACTCAACGGCAGTGAGTTTTTTGTTTTTTTTTTTTAATACTGCCTTTACTTGGTGGGAAAATGAGGCCCAATAGGGTCAGCCCTTGCCAACATCCACACAGTGGGTGAGAAGGGCAGAGCCAGGCTGAAAACTCACTTCCTGACCTCCACTGTTGTTTGCCTTGTGATGTGTTCTCTAGGTTGCCAGGCCTCAGCTCATCCTGTGGAGGTCTGTGGAGGGTGGCCCTGGTGTGAAAAGCCTTGAGGAGGGTTCCTTGGAGAAGTCTCAGAATGACTGTGATCATCATCTGTCCCTGAGAAGGGAGCAGGCATGCTCAGTGAACTTCAAGAGGAAATGGGGGCCAGTGGAGAAGATGGACAGAAGGCTGAACAGGGCTTGTGGCATGGAGAACTTTGAAATTGCAGAAAACTCCCCCTTGCTGGAAGGATGCAGTTATCCATCAGCTGGGGGTTAGCCTCAGATTCCTTGAGAGCCAATGACTCTGCAGTTCTCATAGTGGCTGTAGGTGGCTCTTGACTGTCTCTCCCCACTGCCAAGCCTCTGTCCATCTCCTCCAAGCTTCAGTGGGATTCTTGGCCCAGGGATCATTCCAGTTCCTTCGGCAAGGCTTCCTGTCCCCTCCTGTACATGCAGACTCTTTTCCTCCAAATTCTAGTGGTGTGACACATGAGGTCTGTGCCTCAGAGCTTGGTACACCAGCCACCCTGGGTTGTTTTTTGGAATGTTGAGTGGTCTTTCCAAAGGGGATGCCATTTTCTGCTTGGTCAGTATTTGCATTTGGGCCAGTTTTCTGGATGTGGAAGGTACATCTGGAGCTCCCCCACTCAACCCTCTGTTGGTGTGGGGCAGTTGAACTCTGATCCTACCTCCTGCTCTGAGAGGCAGTAACCCCCTCCACCAGGCCAACTGTAAAGACCTCCCAGTTGTCCTACAGCGAGAGATGGTGGTTATCAGAGCAGGGTTCTTTGGAGGCCTTGGTGGGTAGATTTGGACTACTGATTGTGGGACAGAAATGAGTATAGACAGGGGCAGGATTCTGTCAGGAATCAGCCTGGTCCATCCTTGGAGAAAGATAAGGGCAGGAAGGCAGTGGTCCTGGGGTACTTCAAACTAGTTGCTGTGGAGTTGACTGTGACTCATGGCAACACCATGTGTGTCAGAGTAGATTGTGGCTGACATTCTGGAAGTAGATTGCCAGGCCTTTCTCTTGAGGTGCTTCTGGGTAGATTTGAACCTCTAACCTTTTGGTTAGCAACTAAGTGCTTTAACTGTTTGCACCACCCAAGGACTCTTTGGGGGTACTTTAGAGGGCCTTCAATGCCCAAAGACCCTGGAAGGCCCTCAGTGACTTCCCTCTTCTTCCATCCCTGGATGATTAGTGGGTTTATGTGCCAATACGCAGGCCACAGATGTGGAACCATCTTTGGTCTGTGTGGATATACAGCTCAGGAGGGAGGCCCTGCACACTGACTGCACTCTTTCCCGTGTAGATGGAGGCTATGCACGTATGTTGGACGAGTTGAGAAATTCAAGTGATTTAAGAGTCATTCTCTTGCACAGTGATTATCATCTCAGCTGATTGCAAAGAATCTTCATGTTTGAATTCCCATAGGGAGAAAATGTGTGTGTGTGGTTGATTGGCAACCCGCTTCCCACCCCTTGTCCTGCTCTGCAAATCCTCCTAGGACAAGCCTGGGGTATAATGGATTGAGGAGGACATGGTCTTTTGATATGTGTGATTCTTTTCTTCCTGTGGCATCTTTGCTCCTGCTGGGGGAGGATAGGAGGGCTGGCAGGAGGCCCCTCCGTCGTTAGATTCTCCATCAGCCCTTGCGGTAGGTGTTGGGGGCATCTGGTTTCCCATAGCAGCACTGGTCTCTGGTCTCGCTGATCAACAGGGTCCAGACACAGGTGCCAGGCCATGCTGGCCACTCTAAAGTTGGATCACACATGAATGCAAACAGCTGCCAATCCTGGGCATGAGGGAGAGGGCCAGGACTGGGTCTCTAGGGCATATGTGTCCTTTTCTGCCATGGCTCTGTGTTGCAGCCTGGTTCCCCAGCCTTGGCTAGCCCAGGAGGGCTTGTGAGGCCCAGGAACAGGACTGCAGTTTCTCCCCACCTTAAGGTGCTCGCACGTATGTGAGTTCGAAGCCCATTCTTCTACATTCGTGACAACAGCCCCTTTGTGGGTTGTAGGTTGGCTGCTGGGCTTATGAGCAAAAAAGAATTGGTGGCTGAAGGGCATGGAGAGACAGAAGTGATGACAATGGGAACATGAATAAGACTCTACCCCAGCTCCTGGGAAGCAGTGTGGGCGGAAGCCAGAGACTGGTTTCTGCTTCTACCCTCATCCTCTTTGTCCCAGTGGGCCTCTCTTCCTTATGTGGCTTACTCATGGCTCCCAGACGTTTACATATGCAATCCTGATTCCAGACCATTACTATCCCCATTATAAAGAAAAAGAAAGAGAAGTTTTAAGGGGTTACCTGACTTGCCCCAAGCCGCTCAACTCATAAGGAGCATAGCTCGGCTTTGAACCTGGGACTCTGGTTTTCAGTAGCTGCATTGCTGTGCTAGTCATTGCTGTGTGCTTACAGTGTCTTGATGGCAAGTCTTTTCTCCTCTGAGTCTCTCGATGTCCAACAACAGAAGAATAGTTAAATAGGTGATAGTCTATCCATTTGCAGACATTAAAGATCATGCTTTTAAATACACAGAATAATGGTCCATGAAACAAGCAAAATACAAACAGTATATTCACTATGGTCCCAATTTTGTAAAATGACTTACACACACACACACGGAAAGAAGCATGGTTATATATCTGATTTAATTTATATATTTGATTTCATTTTCTTTGCTTTTTTTTTTGGAATTTTTTTTAACAGTGAATGTTTTATATTCAGAAAAAAATGTTACTTAAAACAGGAAAAGTTGGAGTTGTCTGGCAATGGGGTGGGCATCCTCAGGGGAGGGCGAGCTTCCTGTCCTTGGAGGTGGGCAAGGTAAGTGTCATTTGTCATGGATCCTGAACAGGGGAGTGGATAGAACTGGATTCTTTGATGAACTATCCAAGGAATTACTCCACAGGTGACCCTATGACCCTGTGGGAGGAGGGAGTTATCTAGAGCAGTGCTTCTGAAACTGGGCTGTGCCTAAGAATCACCTGGGGATCTTGTTCAAATGAAGGTTCTGATTCTCCATGTCTGGGGCGAGGCCAGAGATCTTTCATGTCTAACAAGCCCCCAGATGCTGCTGGTGAGCCAAGGCCCTAGAGCACTTTCCCCCTGATTTTGCCCTGGAGGAGTGTCCACTGTGCCCACCCAAGTGCCTGGGCACACTAGGGCAGACAGATTCTTCTAGTAATAAAGGGAATGGTACAGAGGGATGTTGGGATGAGTGACCTATGACTTAAACTGGGATTCCCTGGATGTTTGTGGAATGTTCGTGGAATGTATATCAGTAATAACAATCATTAATCTACAGATGGATACATAGGTAGACAGGCAAAAGGATCAGATATGGGTAGATACATCTATGACCATATGTAATGTTGGTAGATGATAATGTTTGTGGAAGAGGCTGTTCAGGGAAATGGAAAGGTGAGAGTTGTGGTCAGAGGAGCTGAGTTTGAGACCAGGCTTCTCTATACTTTGGCTTAGTGGAAAGAGCTCAGGATTTGAACTAGACAATCCAGAATTTGAATTCCAGGTCTGCATTTTGCTAGTTGCGTGTGTCTAGGCAAGTTGTTTGCCTCTCTCAGACTCAGTTTCTCCATATGTAAAGTGGGAATAAGAATGCTGGTCTAATAACGTTGTGAAGGATGAAATAATCTATCGACTTAAAGGCAGTGGGTTTGGTTATTAGCACAGTATGTAGTACACGGTAAGTCCTTAGCAAATGTTTGTTTCCCCTTAAAGTGCATGTTCTTCTCTACTTGCAGGTAGATGAGATATACCATGATGAGTCCTTGGGAGTCCACATCAATATCGCTCTTGTCCGTTTGGTTATGGTCGGCTACCGCCAGGTAACACCCCTTGGCAGCAGGAGGGAGAAAGGGTGTGGGGCTAGAGTGTCATACCATCTATCGTGTGGGGTAGAGGGCATAGCATCTAGGAAAAGCCTTTTTTGTCTTAAGAAGCAGAACCCCTAAGTATGGAGAGATTAGAACTGTTATACACTGCTGGTGGGACTATAAAATGGTGCAAACACTGGGGAAAATGGTATGGCACTTCCTTAAAAGGCTGAAAATACAAATACCACTTGATCCAACAATCCTACTTCTAGGTATATATCCTAAAGAAATGAGAACTGGGGCACAAGTAGATATATGCACACCCATGTTCATCGCAGCCCTATTCACAGTAGCAAAGAATTAGAAACAACCTAAGTGCCTATCAGCAGATGAAATGGATAACCAAACTATCATACATAGACACAATGAAATACTGTGCAACACTGAAGAATAATGAAGAATCTGTGAAACACCTCATAACGAGGATGATATTGGAAGACATTGTGCTGAGTGAAATAAGTCAGTCACAGCAGGACAAATATTGTATGAGTCCACTATTGTAAAAAGTCCAGGAAAGGTTTATACATGGAAGAAAACTTTCTTTGTTGGTTTCCAGGGATGGGTGGGAGAGGAGGGAAAATTGCTAGATAGGTGAGAGACAAATACTGATTTGGGGGAATGGAAAGGCAATATACAAAAAGCTGTTGTTGTTATTTGCCATCAAGTTGGACCCAACTCATAGCGACCCCTCCTTGGGTTTCCAAGGTGGTATCATTAAGGAAGTAGTTTGCCCAACTTTCCTTCTGAGGAGTGGTTGGTGGGTTTGAACTGCTAGACTTCTGATTAGCAGTCAAGTGCCTTAGGTACCATGCTACAGAGCTCCTAGTAACCAACAAAATAGCACTATGGAAAAGGAAGACACGAAGAGGTGTACAAGAGGTACAGACAACAAAGATCTTGCATACATAATACTGCATTATCAGTAATAACAATCATTAATCTACAGATGAATACATAGGTAGACAGGCAAAAGGATCAGATATGGATAGATACACCTATGACCATATGTAACGTTGGTAGATGATATTTCTACATATGTATTTGTATGTACTATAAGAATGTCCATATAGATATAATAGAGCTAACAAGGGGCCAAGTTATGATAACTTCTTAGCTATAGTCAAACACCTTGAGGAAATGAGTTGCTGGGCCTGTGGGCCTGGGACCATGGTTGCGGGAGACATAAAGTTCAATTAGCATAACATAGTCCACAGAAACATTGTTCTATATCTTACTTTGGTGAATAGCGACTGGGGTCTTAAAAGCTTGTTAGCCATCTAAGATGCAACAATTGGTCTCTCCTTGTCTGGAGTAAAGAAGAGTGAAGAAAATCAAAGATGCATGGAAACAATTAGTCCCAGGAACTAGTTGACCATAGGAACCCTCAGCCTACATGACCCTGAGTCCAGAAATAGATGATGCTTGGCTACCACTGCCAACCACTCAGAAAGGGATCAAAATAGGAGATCCTACATAGCGTGGAAGAAATATGTGGAATGCAACTCAAAATCTTCAAAAAGACTAAGCTTACATTCCTACTGCCATTGAGTCGATTCCAACTCACAGCAACGCCCAGTGGGTTTCTGAAGCAGTAATTCTTTACAGAAATAGATTGTGCAGTCTTCCTTCCATGGAGTGGCTGGTTAGCATTTGACTGCTAACCAGAACTGCCACCTTGCCTAAGTCAAACGCCTTAGACACTGGACCACCAGAGCTCCTTATATTTACATTAAAAACAAAAGAAAACAAAAAAAAAACCTCACTGCCCTCGAGTCAGATCTGACTCATAGTGACCCCTCCTTGGGTTTCCAAGGTGATATCACTACAGAAGTGGATTTCCCAACCTTCCTTCTGAGGAGTGATTGGTGCCTTTGAACCATCAGCCTTCTGGTTAGCAGTCAAATGCAATCAAAACAACAATGAGATACCATCTCACCCCAACACTAATAGCAAAGACAGAAAATAACAAATGCTGGTGAGGATGTGGAGAGATTGGAACTCTCATAAATTGCTGGTGGGACTGTAAAATGATACAACTGCTGTGGAAATCAGTATGGTGATTCCTTAAAAAAGTTGGAAATAGAAATACCATTTGATCCAGCAATCCCATTACTAGGTATATATCCTAAAGAAGTGAGAGCTAGGACATGAATAGATATACGCACAGCCATGTTCATTGTAGGAGCTCTGGTAGCATAGTGGCTAAGACACTTGCCTGATAACCAGACGGCTGGCGGTTCAAACCCACCAGCCACTCCTCGGAAGGAAGGTTGGGCATTCCTACTTCCGTAGTGATACTGCCTCGGAAACCCAAGGAGGGGTCGCTATGAGTTGGGGCCGACTCGATGGCAAATAACAACAACAACAACAACAAATGTTCATTGTAGCACTGTTCACAATAGCAAAGAAATGGAAGCAACCTAAGTGCCTGTCAGTGGAGGAATGGATTACTAAACTGTGGTACCTACCTGCAATGGAATACCACGCAACACTAAAGAATAGTGTAGAATCTGTGAAACACCACGTAATGTGGATGAACTTGGAGGACATTATGCTGGGTGAAATAAGTCCATCACAGAAGGGATAAATATTGTGTGAGTCTACTATTGTTAAAAACTCAAGAAAAGGTTTGTATGTGAAAGGAATGGATGGGAGGGAAAGGGGAGAAAAATTGCTAGATAGGTAGATAGATATACATATATATATATGTAACCAAAAAACCAAATTCACTGCCATTGAGTTGATTCTGACTCACAGTAACTTCCGTGGGTTTCCGAGATGGTCAATCTTTACAGAAGTGGATTGCCCCATTTTCCTTTTGCAGAGCATCTGGTGGGTTTGAACTGTAGTCAGATGCCTTAGGCACCATGCTACCAGAGCTCCATACCAAATATTATTAGTAGTTACCAGGGGGGGTAAGAGGAAGGTAGAAAGGGGAAGCTTTTGTTTGGGGAGCATTGAGTTTATGCTAATGGTGATGGAATATTTTAAAAAAGGATAGCAATAATGATGGCACAACATGAAAATGTCATCATTGTCCCTGAACTGTAAATGTGGAAGTTGTGTTGTTGACTGTCTTGTGTGTGTTTTCATGACATAAAAGTAGAAAGAAAAAAAAAAAAAAGGAAGAAGACTAGGCTTACCAATCTGATAGAGATCGGTGAAACCCCCAGACTCTTGGCCCCTAGTCACTCTTCAGGCCTGTAATTGAACTCATTCCTATGGCTTAACTTCCAGCCAAACGGTAGACAGGTTTATGTGGTGAACAGTTACACTAGATAGGTACATGCCTTAGAAAAATCAACCATGGGTGATCAGAGGGGTAGCATTTGTGCAGAGAGATAGCTCAGAGGGCAGGAATTCATAGCAAAGAAGGACAGTGGGAAAAGGTAACCACAGGAACTGGGAAGAGAGCTGTTACATTGTGGGAATTGCCATCAGTGTCCAAAAACAAAACGTGTATGAACTGTTAAATGGAAAATGAATTTGCTCTGTAAACCTTCACCTAAATCACAATTAAAAAATGAAAGTAAATAAAAAGGGAATACTCATACAACTGAATCAGCTAGCTGTTTGGACTTCATCAAGATGGAGGAAGGTTAGAGTTATAGTTCTTCTTGTCCCGCCCTCACCTCCACTGAGATCAGTCCTGGTTGCCAGGCAAAGGGGTGGTTCTGAGCAGAATGCTTTCCATGGGCTCTGTTGTCCACTGTGGCAGTGAGGTTCTGGCAACCTGAGGCAACTCACCAGTGACCTTTGGAGCTTCTGAGGGTCACGTGATGGCCATGATGCTCTGGCTGATGCTGATCCTGAAGGTCCCATGCCAGACGAAGGCAGGATACCCAAAGAGGTGACAGCGGATCCTGATTCCCAAGGAATGCTGTGGGAGCTGGTGGCTCTTATAGTGGGAATTTATATACTTATAACCTTCTATTATGATTCAAGGCTGTGCAAAGAACTGGCCAGTAGGATTTCTGCTAGGATGAAGCAACATCCTATTGTTGAGAAGGTTTGCCACATTGAAAAGAGTTTTTAGACCTGAATTTACATATTCTAGAAGACACACTGGAAAACAAACTGCCAGAAAGAGTCAGTGTGTCAATAATGAATAAAGAAAGGCAAACTACAAATCTTTACCCAGGTTTAATACAGATAGTTTTGGGAAAAAGAGAAATCTGAATGTTCACAAGCTCAACTGATCATATTACAAGCAAAAATCTAAGCAAATCCAAAACCAAACAGCCACAAACAAAGCAGTGCCGAGAACCCATTCATTAGAAGATTGGAGGACAGCTGCAGACAGCACTCAGAAACCGCAGAGCAGAATTCCAACCTTCATGAGAGCACACATCTGCTCTCACAGGAGTTGTAAATGTGGAAGGAAAGAGTGGGCAGACTTACTGAAGAAAAAAGCGTCTTCACAATCTCGGACCGCCTGTGGAGGAAGTTCTTCACACTGTAGAAAGTCAGCTCAAAGCCCCGAGCGCATGTTTGAAAGGTGAGCGGCTGGGCTGCTGTTCTTGGGCAAAACAATGTGGTTGACGGGAATGTGGAACTGGATACATCAAAGACAGACAAGGGAGCCCTCTTGGGTCGGACCCAGTGGAGTGCTGAATTATGCAGCTGCATTAAGTACTTATGTACAAACTTTGCAAGAGCAAACAGCTGAACCAGAAATTAACAGAAGAAGCTAAAATCATTATTACATTGAAAAATGATACCAAAAGCCTGGAAACCAAGAAAGCTGACAGAGAACCCCTGATTAGAGCCGGAGAAACAGAGACTCCAATAGAGACATCCAGCTGCCAGCCAGGCTCTTGTCCTCCCTGTGGACCTCCCTTCAACAGAGCCCAGAGGCAAAAGAGAACTCCCAAGAAGAAGTTGGGGACAAGGGGACATCCTGTGCTTCCCACCATTCTAGAGAGCCTGGAGGAAACTCCCTGAGTGTCGTCTCCACCAAGGATCTTCGCTGGCCCAGCTGCATTCTCCATTGGCAATAAAATACACCTCAGTACCAACCAGTAGATTCCCACTGGTGTCCGTATCACATGGACTCACATGTAGATACCCTGTGAGTTGATACACTTTCCACGGAGTCTGCTTTAAGTATCCGAGAACAACAGCAAGACATTTTTGTTTTTCTCCCTCAAACTATTTAAAATTTGTCTCTTTTAATTGTTATTCACTGGGAATTGCACAGTGGTACAATTGTAAACTTGATAGATGATAACTTTTATATTTAAATGATTAATATTAGATTATATTTTAAAGCTGTAGATCCTATGCATGAGTCTTATAAATGAGTTGATTGCATTTCATTATAATATATGTAATAAAATATATTTCATTATATGTAAACTTTATTATAGTCATCAGACTATTTTTGTTGTCATTAACTAATATAATCGCAGAACATAGTATATAGGTTTCCCTATTTAAAATGTCCTCTTAAGGTTATACAGAAGAAGTTTCATAAGTAGAAACAGTTGAAACTAAGATTTATTTTTGCATTAAAATACATCCCTATGCTCTGATTATATGATTATTTACCACTGTAAAATTTGGTTAATAAAAAACAGCAATAACCTTAAATAATAATAATAATAAATGAATTAAAACCCCAAGACCATTAGAATCAAAGCTTAATTGAGGGTTGGTAAGTGGAGACTGTGTGTGCTTTCCAGTCTGAGGAAATGACAGTCTTTTGCCTTTATAGCTGGGGAAAGAGCTCTGGTGGCACTGTGGTTAAAGCGTTGGGCTGCTAACCAAAAGATTGGCAGTTAGAACCTACCAGCTGCTATGTGAGAAAGATGAGTCTCTCTGCTCCTGTAAAGAGTTACAGCCTTGGAAACCCTATGAGAGCAGTTCTAGTCTGTTCCACAGGGTCACTATGGTCAGAATCAACTCAATAGCAGTGGGTTTATAGCTGGAAGACCCCTCTCCTTGAGGAATGGGTGAGGAAACTGGGGCTTCCAGAAGGACAGCAAGGACACAAGTCCTGCTTTGGTTGAGCACTGAGCCTCTGGGCTCTGCAAGCTTAGACCAGTCAGTTATTTTCTTCCAAATGAGGGTAACAGCAGAACTTTCATCTAAGGGCTCTTATGAAGATCAACTAAGATAGTGAAAGTAAAGTGTCAGCTCAGAGGAAATGTGCAATGAATATTCTTTCATTATCCACAAAAGTTGCTTTGTCTGTAACAACACCCACCTTGCAGGTTAGTCCAGGGCATTAGAGATAATGTGTGTTGAGTTCCCAGCAGACACATGTGCTTGGCGCATGAATGTTCAATACTTGTTCCCTGAAGTAGAAGGGACTGTATGTGGCAGCAGCTGGGGCCAGGATAGCCAGGTAACTTGGGACTGACACTGCAGTCCCGTAGGACTCAGAATTCTCATCTCTAAGTGGGTGGAGAGTGGCATGGGTGCCCCCTGCAGTCACTGGGGGCTCTGACTGCTCCTTCCCAGTGCTGATGACCTTCCGGCCCCTGCAGTCCCTGAGCCTGATCGAGCGTGGAAACCCCTCACGCAGCCTGGAGCAGGTCTGTCGCTGGGCACACTCCCAGCAGCGCCAGGACCCCGGCCACGCTGAGCACCATGACCACGTCATCTTCCTCACTCGGCAGGACTTTGGGCCCTCAGGTATGCAAGGTACTGTATTTGCCAGGGCCAGATGTGTGCTGCCTGCCAGGTAGGGCTGGGCCTGGGTATGGATGGATTTTCAATGGAGCCCACCAGGGGAGGTTTGACGGGCAAGGTTCCTATCAGAAAAAAGGTCCATGGAGATTTGGGGACAGGACATAGATGGACAAATGAGCAGGCTTTGAAGTGCCTTCTTGGGGACCAGGGAGAATTAAGGGGTCCTCACTCTGTCCCTGCTGTCTTAGCCAAGCCTGGAGGTAGCTGTGAATGTTGAGGTCCTGGGCCCTGTGCTTAGTGTCCCCAAGCCCTTAGTGGTCTTCAGGATGCCTCTGCCCATACCATGTCCATGTGTCTTCATTGCAGCCTGTGGTAAAACTAGGGCAGGGCTTGTGTGGGCTGCAGAAAAGAAGTCCATAGTCTATGCCCAGCTCCAGGCAACACTAGCCCAGTCATCTAAGATCCCTTCATCTCCTGGACTCCAGTTCTCCCAGCTGTCTAGCGAGGAAATAATTATATTTGGCTCCTCCATTCCAAGGCTGCTGGGAGGCCAAGGCTTACAGGAGGTGTTAGTGACAGAGTGTTGATAGCTCTCAGTGCTGTGCAAACATGTGAAGCTATGATCCCCCCAGCTATCCATCTGGGAAAACTGAGGCACAGAGTGGTTACAGGTCTTGTCCACTCCCATAACAGAGTGGAGACAGATCTGAGACTCAGATTTCCAGGCTTCCATGTTGAGGGCTTTCTGCTTTATTCTGGTTTGATGATAGAAATGAGTCAGACAGCCATGCTTCTACCCAAAGGGCTGCTTGTCTAAATCACTGAAGCCCCAAATGTGGGTTCCCATATGCACAGACACATGCATACACATACACATTGACACATGCACACACATAGACACAATACACACACGTACACATACATGCACTTGCATGACAGGCACAGCAAATCCCAGACCTCCAGGATAATAGAGGCTCCAGAAACGTCCTTCCCACCACAGCCTCATCATTATAACCCCCAAAACCATCTCAAGTAAAAGAACATTTCAGCAACTCTGAAGATAGGGAGTTAGTTGTCTGGGCGGCCACAGACTCAGGCAGGGAGCTTAAGCAGGTAACGTTCTCTGCTGTCACCTTGGAGGTGGGATCTGTAGGACTTTCCCTAGTCCAGCTCGATCTCCTAGCCCGTAAGGAAGGGCAAGCTCCTTGGAACCACCTAGCATACTGTATCGGCTTATTAAGGCTGGTGGTAGCTACAGCCCAGCCCCATGGCACTGCCCACAGTTCCTCAAAGGCCATGCTCACCATTGTTTCTGCACTTGACCCACACACTCCCCCACCTCCATGCCCATTTCTCTACCCTAGAGAGCTGCCTCACCTGCCCTCAAAGCCCAGCTCCCATGCACCTATAAGTTGCTCTCTGGCCCCCCACAACCACTCCAGTTGAAATCATCCCCTCCTCCACCCACTTCTGCACACCCCATTTTCCTCCTAGAATCCAAGACCTTCTAGCTTACACCTAATCCCTCGGCTAAGCCATGTTCTCCCTAAGTCTGCGGGAGTGTTGACTTGGATGGTGCTTGGATCTGATTCCTCTCTGCTGCCCCTATCGTGTCTAACACAGCACCATCTGCCCCCAGAAGCAGTTGGAGCTTGTTTGTTGATTGCCTGACTGAGGGACTGGCTGGCTGTGGGGGCAGCAGCAGGAAGTGGTACTGCAGACTCAGGTCCTGCCTGGAATACCAATGCCTAGTTGAGAGCAGGGAATGGGAGACTCTGGGAAGCTGCTTGTCAAGTGGGAGCCATACATTTAAGGAGGTGAGGGCAGCTTGGCCTAGGTTTGCTGTATGGCCGGGTGGGACTTTGCAAGTATCCTTCCTCCTCCAGGAAACCTCGGCAGTGACCAGGCTCAGATGTCCCTGCAGTGGCCCAGCTAGGAGCAGACCCCCAAGTGTCCTCCCTAGCTACCCATGACCTCTCTTTGTCCTTTCTACCCACCCCCCAGGGTATGCACCCATCACTGGTATGTGCCACCCACTGAGAAGCTGTGCCCTCAACCATGAAGATGGCTTCTCCTCAGCCTTTGTGGTGGCCCATGAGACTGGCCATGTGTAAGTGGCGCTAGGATGGTGGTGGGGCTGGTGGCCCTGTGATTTTGGGCTGTGACGTGAGCTCTGAGGAGGCCTGTGAGTATATGGGGGACTTTGCTTCAGATCATGGTCTGGTCCCTTGTCCTGGAAGATGCCAGAGGATCTGGCCTGCAGCTGCAGTGCAGGGACCCAGGGCTGCCCATGAGGGAAGTCCTGCCCTAGCACTATCCTAAGGGAGATGGAATTAGGGGATGGAACTACCTTTCCTTGGGCACAGGTTCCCAACACAATGGCCAAGGGAAACCAGATAGGACCCTGCCTTATCCCTGTCACAGACACTTGTCTACTGTCTCTGGGTGGTCTCCATTCCTGGCCTCCCTTCATCCTGTCCACATCTCAGACCCCTTCTGAGCTCTATCCCATCACACGTTGGCACTCAGCATACCCTGGGGGAGCTGGCTTGAGCCCATCACAAACATGAACACTTGGTGCTCCAGCAGCGGCCAGGCAAAGGCTGGCTCGCCCCATATCTGGGCTTGGATTTTGTTTATAGCATGTTCATCTGTTCATTCAGCAAATATTTATAGAGTACCCACCCTGTACTAGGCCTTGAGTTACAATGGAGGACAGAACAGAGCCCCTGTCCTCCAGAAACCATGTCTCAGTGAGGAGTCTGGGGGCAAACAAATAAATCCCCAGTGTGTTATAGATAGTACCTCCAGGCCCTGTATGTCCTCAGAGCTAAAGGATACACTCCTCCACCCTCAGGTCCAAGCGCACAGGTTTGGAAGGAGCTGAGGAAAGGAGAGGAGTAGGTGAACTGAGAGCCCTGCCAGCACAGAGCCCTGTGGACTTCACTGTAGCTTGGTTCTCATGGGCAGGGGCCACCTCCTTGTTCTGGGCCTTGGTTTCCTCATTCATGCATGGCGATTGACACCAGGAAAACTCTGAGGTCCATTCCTGCAGTAGAAGTCAATAATTCCATATATTCCTGGTGCCAGGAGCTTGTCCTTCTATGGAGGAGGAGTCCACCCTTCCCTGAGGCCCCTCTTATTAAACCACACACTTTCTTGTTGATGAAACACTATGTGGTCCTGAGACATCCCTATGGTTGGTATGGATCATCTCATTGTGATCCACAGGTTTTCATTAGCTGAAAGTAGATCACCAGGGAGTAGATGACCAGGAAGTAGATCACCAGGCCTTTCTTCCTAGTCCTCCTCAGTCTGGAAGTGCCATTGAAACTGTTCAGCATCACAGCAACATGCAAGCTCCACTAACAGCTGGGTGGTGGCTGCACAGGAGGTTCATTTGCTGGAATTCAAACCTGGGTCTCCTCCATGGAAGGCGTGAGTTCTACCACTGAACCACCATTTACCAATGAACTTGCCATTTATGGTCAAGCTTAAAGGCCCATTTATCCACCTAGTGGTTGAGTCCAGATGAAGCTACTTGGGAGTATCTAAGAATTTAGAACCTTTGGACTTTGGCATTAAATAACAAATACAAAAGCAAGTTCCCCCTTCCCCCTTGTAAAAGATAATATTTTTGTCCTTTAGATATTTTTCTACAGAGGAAAAAATACATATATTTACATGTTGTTGTTGTTGTTATGTGCCGTCAAGTCGGCACACTTACATAAATACTAAAACATATATACATTTACATTTTGGTCAAAAATTTTGACTGTCATCTGCATTCACTTAATATATACATGGTCTTCTTTCCACACAAATGCCATTTTAATGGTTGCAGTTTACTGCATTATGTGAAATAGCTTGATTAACTCCTCTATTTTAAATATTTGTTTTTCTAATTTCTCACTATTATAAGCAGTGTCGCAGCAATGAATATCTTTGTAGCTAAATCTTTTTGCTTTATTTTTATCATGGTAGAAAATATATAACAAAACATTTGCCATTTAAAACTTCTTACACGTACAATTCAGTGGAAGAGCAAACTTTGTCATTTAAACCTAGGGCTTTAAACCAGTTCTTCCTGTTTAATCATGGCTGATGAAGTGAAACCGGAATAGACTCAAATTTGTAAAATGTGGGTGAACTGGGATGATAACAAGAATGAGAAAGATTACGGGTTGATGCCCTGCTGCAAACTTACTCTCCCTCTTAGAAAACAAGGACAGCATGCCGGTTGCATAGCAACCACATCTCTTGACCAACAGAATTGGAAACAACAATGCTCTGCTCAAAGATGATGGTTCACTTTGAATGTGTGTCACTGTCCACAGTCCTGGAAATAATCCAGTCTCCTATATTAAGCTTCTTAAGGAGTTCACTATGCTTCTTCCAAGTCTCCCATTCCAGAGGTTTGACCTGTAATTTTTCCTGTTTCCTTCATTTCACCCAAATTAAAAATATTTGGGTCTGTTCTGATTTCACATCATCGGCCATGACTGAACTGGTTTGAACCAGTTCAAAGCCCTGTTTAAACCATCATTTTAAGCTTACTGCATGCAAAGCTCTGTGTTAAGTATGGTGGGGTCTTGGGAAGCTTAAGAGGCTGGCTCACAGAGGGGCCCAATCAGTGGTGCTGAATTAAATAAATAAGACTCAGTCCTTGAAGTCAAAGACCTTTGGGTCTTGTGGGAAGACAGCACATTGAGTTGTTGAAGGATGGTGCAAGTGGCCCCTGCTATTGGAGGGCAGCCACGGGTGGAGCAGCCTGGAACAGGAGTGGGCCTTGAGGTGGCTCTGGCTCTGAGGCCATGAGTGGAGTTTGAGGAGGGGAAGGGCACTCTGGGTGTAGAAGACAACTGCCCAGAGGTTGGAGGGCAGAATGTGCCTGCCCCTACAGGGGCAGAGGGCAGTCTCATCTTCTACTCAGCAGCCTTGGAGGGGGAGGGGTGGTCTTCCCCATGGCACACTCAGGAAACTAAGTACAGGAGGTACAGTCTGAACCTGTGACCAGGGTGGTCTGCCTGCCTGTCTTCCCAGGGGCAAGTGCCCATGATGAGACTCAGGCCTCCCTGTGCCCTCCCCACCTCCCTTCTAGGCTTGGCATGGAGCACGACGGCCAGGGGAATGGCTGTGCCGATGAGACCAGCCTGGGCAGCGTCATGGCACCCCTGGTGCAGGCGGCCTTCCACCGCTTTCACTGGTCCCGCTGCAGCAAGCTGGAGCTCAGCCGCTACCTCCCGTAGGTCACTTCCACCCTTGGGGCTAAAATGGGGGCTCTAAGCACAGGGCACACAGCTGGCTGTCTGCCCCACGTCATTCCCCTCCTCCACACCCCCGCCTCCTCCCTGACTTGACCCTTCTGTAGCTCTTCTAGCTGCACTCCACCCTCACCCTGCATGGCCTAAAACATCCCCTTCAGTATCCCTGCTGGGTTAGCCCAGTGCTTCAAAGGGTGCTCAGATGACCACTTGCACAGAATTCTTATTAAAAATTCAGATCCCTTGGCCCCACCCAAGATGCTAAATTAGACTTACTGCTGGGGTTAGACCCGGGAATCTGTATTCCTCAAGCACTGGAGGCCATACTCATGCACACTGAAGTTTAGGAGCTGCTGAGCTGAGGGTGGTGTACTACTGTGTCCCCAAGTCCTCAGAGAAAGGGCCTGCCCTTCCCATCCTCCCGGCCTTAACCCCAGCAGCACATACTTAGTTCTCAGCCTCACTGATTGGCTTTGGGGATCTCCAGGGACATGGAGGTACAGGATGGGTGTTAGGCTTAGAGGCCTAAAAATGGGCACCAGACTGGATTTGGGTGGGGGTACGTGAGGCAGCGGCAGCCAGGGCACCTGCCCAGTGTGCTTCCTGGGTAGGGGCTGACTTTTCTTCTCCCCTCCATCACAGTGGGTCCTCATCTTGGCCATAGTATGAATTTCTACCAAAAAAGAAAAAAAAAAACAACAACTCACTGCCATCGAGTTGATAGTGACCTTCTTTGGGTTTCCAAGGCTGTAACTCTTTACAGAAGTAGACTACCTCATCTTTCTTCCACGGAGCAGCTGGTGGGTTTGAACTGCTGACCTTTTGATTAGCAGCCAAATGCCTTAACCACTATACCACCAGAGATCCTTAATGTGACTTTCCAACGGGTATAATTGACCCTCTAAGAGAGCTGCAAGCTTAACCTTAGCCCTGGTCCTTGGATGGCCCTCCAGACACAGGCACTGGTGGAAGTGAGGTCCTGAGTGGGCATGGGGATGCTCAGGGATGCTCGTTCCTGGACAGCCAGCTCCTGGCACAGGGCCAGTGGCTCTAGGCTCATTCAGATCTTCCTCCTTCTTTGCTCACTAACCACCCCCACCCCAGCTCCTAGGAAAGGAGAGCTTAGGAGTTTCTGTCTTGGGTCTGGCTTACTCCCTGTCTCTGCTGGCAGCTCCTATGACTGCCTTCTGGATGACCCCTTTGAGCCATCTTGGCCCCGGCCCCTGGAGCTGCCTGGGATTGAGTATTCAATGGATGAGCAGTGCCGCTTTGACTTTGGCACCGGATACCAGACCTGTGCAGCGGTGAGTACTCACGGTCTCTGCCAGGACTATATCCTGTGATCCAGGTTGGGCATTCACAGAGCACCTACCACCCAGTTAGTCAGTTAGTCTGGTGATGGGCTGGCCAGGCCCTGTGGGAGGATACAGATAGACCTAGCGCCCTTCTGTGCTCTGTCTAGCACTCCTGTGGGAGGCAGGCATATACAGTGGCTTGAGAATGACTTTGCCCAGGGAAAGGTGGGACCAGGTAGGACAGAGTGGGCTGATGGGAGCCTGGCTGGAATGGTAACCATCTGCAAGGCATCTGGGTGTCAGATCCGGTGCTGGGCTCTGCCTGGTAGGGGAGTCTCTCCTACCACCTGCTCTTCAAGGGCTTGGTGGTATGTTTGAGCTAACTCCTTACCTCCGTGAAATTCTTCTACACCCACAAAGCTCCTCTCTCCATGAGGTCAACTCTCTGCTCCCCTCTTTGCCTGGAGAGATAGATACCAAGGGATATCTATCCCTACCCTGGAGACAGGGCAGGGGAGAGCCTGGACATCAGAGAGAACCACCCAGTATAGAACTGAACAGCCACTGACCGGGGGTCATAGACAAGGGACATCTCAGGGTAGGGACTTTCTGGAGGCGGTAGACCTTGTGACCTGAGAGCCCCAACTCCCCATCTGGGAAACACAGGCCCCCTCACCTCTGGAGAACCAGGAAGCCCTGTTTGGTACCATGAGGAACCTCTGTGTATGGTCACCTTCCCCACGGTCCAGGCCATGCTGGGACACGTAGTGTGACAAAGCACTGCTTTGGGGCAGGGAAACAGTCTAGGACAGGGGATTTAAATGCCCAAATGCTGGTATTTGTAGGATGCTGATATAACTGGCATCATGGCAAAGAATATTAAGGCAGTTGAGGCTTTCCTGGTCAGTCTTAAACATGGTTACACCCTCTGCCATCACTGGGTGTCCTCAGCACTTGCTGGTTGCTGAGACAAGCAGCCCCTCAGTGTCTCCCATGCACACAGGGTTCAGAGGTTATAGGTAGCCCAGATCTCTCCATACCCTGGTCCCACTCAGTGACAGAGTGGCTTCTGCACAGGCAGGGAGGTAAGACTTAGGGAAGGGAGAGGGCAGTTTGGGCTGTGGCACGGTCCCGTCTCAGTGCCCTTTTGGAGGGATGAGGAGTTACTTTAGGCCATGGACACTTGGGGTGGAGTCAAGCTTGGGAGTGTGGGGCTCTGGCCGGACCCCTCCTGCCCACTTTGCAGTACTCTGGGCCCCAGCACCCATCACACCCTCCTCTCCTCACCACTGCCCTTTACCCTGTGAACAACTGACCAGAGGCAGGCCAGCCCGGTGACCCCAGTTCCCCTTGCCACACACACAGTTCAGGACCTTTGAGCCCTGCAAGCAGCTGTGGTGCAGCCACCCGGACAACCCATACTTCTGCAAGACCAAGAAGGGGCCCCCGCTGGACGGGACTGAGTGTGCACCAGGCAAGGTACCTGCAGGACTGGGGCCATACCAGGGAGACCTTCCTAGGGTGCAGGTCCAGAGTACCCTCTGCTCCCACTCACCAAATATGTATATGAATGTGGGCGGGAGCAATGCTAAAGGACAGGTGAATTCCTAGAGTGCAGGTAGGTAGGCATAGAGCCTTCCCGTGAACTCACACACACTCATGACCTTTCTCCTTTCACATCCTTTGTTTAATCCCATAGTCCTTTGCTTCTAGTCCTTTGCCCATTTGCAGGAATGCTTACCCTGTTTTATAGATGGAAAGAATGAGGCCTAAAGAGCTCAAGGAACTTGTCTGAGGTCACAGGATAGGGAGTCATGGCAGAGAAGGGATGGAGAGGAGAATCCAGGCATCCTGCCAACCCTCCCATCCTCTTCTCATGCTATGTCTGTTTCTCCCATGCATGTGTATCCCCCCACCCCCACCCAGCACACACACGCAAATCTGCTTTTGCATGCATTTTCTGGCACATACTTTCTCCTGCATGTGTAAGTGCCGGGGCTACATTTACCAGGGGGACCTCATGGCTGTCTCTCAGAGCCCTGAGTTGGAGTCCGAAACCACCTCTACAATATTGCTGGTCCCGCCCTTGGTTACCATGTGGTGACCTGGGGCCAGTCACTGGACTGCTCCAGGCCCCACTGACTCCTGACGAGGCAGTTCTGAAGTTCTAAATCACATTAGAACATTTGAAAGAGCTCTGAAGATGTGGGACAGACAGTAAGAGGAACGGTTATGGATCAGCACCAGCTGTGAGCCCCGCCACAGGCGACTGTAGTTTATTCTGCCTCCACTGGCCTGCCCTTGGCCCTAACTGCATGCACATCCCTCTCATGCCTGCCCTGGGGGTTTACGCCTCAGCACATGGATCGGACTTCCCTGTGGTCCTATGAAACCTGCACCTGGCTGGCTGTTGCTAAAAGACTGGTTACGCTTGCACAGATGTTTCTACTTCTTCCTAAGTTTTCCCAGGCATTTTCAAAGTTCTAGGCCTTCTGCAAGGAGCCGTGGTGGCATAGTGGTTAAAGCATTTGGCTGCTAACCAAAAGTTCGGTGGATCAAACCCACCAGCCTTGCTCTGTGGGAAAATGATAAGGCAGCCTGCTTTGGTAAAGATTTACAGCTTTGGAAACCTGATGGGGACAGTTCTACTCTGTCCTACAGGGTCATTATGAATCAGAATCAACTCAATGACAGTAGGTTTGGTTCTTTTCGGTTTTGGCCCTCTCCAGTCACAGTTTCACATAGCAGCTAATCAGTGACTCTAGTTTTAGTTGCATATTGGAATCATCTGGGCAGCTTTAAAAATCTCCACCCCAGAATAAGGAGTGACTGCAAATGGGCATGAGGGAGTTTTTGGGGCCAATGGAAACATTCTAAAATTGGATGGTGGTAATAATTGCATAACTCCATAAATTTACTAAAAATCCTTGAATTGTCCATTTATGTGAGTTAATTTTATGGTATGTAAATTACACCTCATTAAAGCTTTTTGAAAAATCCCTACCACTAGAGATTCTGACTAAATTGGTCTGGGGTGAAGGCCAGGCATCTGGAGTTTTAAAAGCTCCCAAGGTGATTCCAGGTTGCGCACCACTGAGTTAATCTGAAAAATCCCAGTGAGATTTTGCTGTATTTCTCTCCTGTTGCCCTCAGGAAGAGGGAGGGAGTTAACTTTGGTTGAGGCCTACGTACGTTGTACCTGGCCCTATCCTAAGTGCTTTATAGGTGTGATTGCCTTCAGTTTTTAGAACAGTCACATTTCACAGGTGGGTAAACTTGAGACTCAGCAAGTGAAGTAAATTGTGCCAAAGCCACGTACAGCTAGTAAGTGATGGAGCTGGGTACTCAGACCTAAGTGTCTCTGATTCAAGTGCATACAGTCCATTCCCATATGACAGGCTTGGCTCCCAGTGAATTCTGGGAGGTGACTTCGAGGTACAGAGCCAAGATCAACTCTCAACAATGTGGGGGAGATTGTGTCTTTATTCCACTCCCCTGGGATGATGAACCAAATAATTGCACACTTTTATTAGCACTAATACAGCTACTGTTTATAGAGGGCTATGTAAAAATCCACATTTAACCGTTGAGAAGAGGCTCAGCAAGGTGAACCATTTGCCAAAGGTTGCACAGCTCATGGCAGAACTGGAATTCTGTCTAACCCCAAAGTGTGTGTTCTTAATCTCTCCTCTCAAAGGTTACTCACCCCTTTTCCACATCCCCTGTCTTTGGACTCGTCCCTGGTGCCCACTAGCCATGCTAGGTGCCCAGGTTGGGCCCTGTCCATGGCAGGTCAGGCAGCAGTGGCTACAGGGTGACCTCACACCCTCTGCTCCACCCAGTGGTGCTTCAAAGGTCACTGCATCTGGAAGTCTCCGGAACAGATGTACGGCCAGGATGGAGGCTGGAGCTCGTGGACCAAGTTTGGATCGTGCTCAAGGTCATGTGGGGGTGGCGTGCGATCTCGCAGCCGGAGCTGTGACAACCCCCCGTGAGTGTGCTTGGCTGGGATGGGCAGACCAGGGAACCCCCTCCCAGTGGTGGAGAGGCTGGAGGGGAAGGCACTAGGGGGATGCAACAAGGGAGAATGCAGGTGTGATGCATTTTAATGGCGAGGATCTGAAAATGTTGGGAGTCCAGATCACTCCCACTTGCGCTGGTTAATGACCCATCCAGTTGACATCTGTGAATGTGTCTGAGCCAGAGATTCTCAGAGAGTCATGTGTAGAAGATTCCCCACAGAGTCAGGTGGGCCTAGGAGTTTGCCTGTTTAACATCCCTCTGTGATCTGGCCCTCAGGCTATAACACTGAACAAACACTGATCTAACCTCTCAGTAAGGTTTCTGGGTGGCACAAATAGTTTGTGCTTGACTGCTAACAAAGGATGGCAGTTAAACCCACCTAGCAGTGCCATGGGAAAGGCCTGGCAGTCTACTTCCATAAAAATTACAGCCAAGAAAACCCTGTTAGGCAGTTCTGCTTTGAAATACATGGAGTCTTCATGAGTCAGAATTGACTTGAGGGCAACAGGTTTCTTTTTTGTTTGTTTGTTTGTTTTTAAATAAAACTCTCAGTAACGGTGTCTTGGGAGCATAAATTCCCCAAGTTTGTTTTCTACCACATGAAGCAAAACTTTCCTTTCATTCTTCTTTTTTTTTTTTTTTTTAATTTTTATCGTGATTTGGGTGACAGTTCACAGAGCAAATTCACTTTCCGTACAGCGGTTAAGACACATTTTGTTTCATGCCATTGGCTGCAATTCCCCACAATGTAACATCTCTCTCCTCACTTCCTCCCTGTAGTTACTTCTTCCCTGTGTCTTTCCCTCCCATGCACTCCTGCCCCTTGAGCTATCTCCCTGTGCAAACACTGTTCTTTTGTTCTCCCATGATTGATCAATTAATCCCTCCAAGGAGTATATCTGCCTGATGTAAATGTTCACCCTTACATGCCTGTCTATTTTTTTGGCTGGGAAGCTGTCGGAGTGAGTTCAGTTCCAGACCTGAAGGGTAACTAGGGGCCATAGTCTCAGAGTTCTTTATTATTCTTAACTTGCCTCTTTCTACAAACATCAAATTCCCTTTCCACCCCTCCCAAATCTCTTATTCTGGAGGAAAGTCCGTCTTTCCCTTCCCCTCCCCTCCACGTTTTGTAGCTTCTCAGCCCCAGCCCTCCATGGCCTCCATCTCCCAAAGTGAAGCAGCCTCCTTAGAACAGCCTTATGGGAGACAGAGGCTGGCCCAGGCTTCAGAAACGAGGGATTCTTAACCCCCACACAGACAGGACCTGGCCTAACCCAACCCACACACAGTGCTAAGTAATGAATACTGCAGAACCTCAGACTCCTAGAATCCAGTGGGTATTGAGGATGCCCCCTAGCATCCTCAGGAATGGCCTTTTTTTTTTTTTTTTTTTTTTTCACCATTTGTTTACCTCCAGAGATGGGCAGCTCACTAGCTGTTGAAGCAGGCTGTCCTTTTGGCAGACGACTATCTTGACCTATGAAAAAGATGTGCCAAAGTGAGCTGCCTTGTAACTTCCACCTGTGAATGATACTAAGGCCATGGGTGTAAAAAGGCCCAGCAGGGCCTGCTCCAGTAAGCCAGCCCTTAAACGGCCAGGACAAATAGCTATTCCCTTGGTCAGAGCTGCCATTTACTGTGCTCCTCCTTTGCAAGAAGAACTTTATTTTATGAAGCTTAAGTGGAATAATATGTGTACTCTCAGCAGCATGCCAGCACAGATTAAGCATTTAATAAATGACAGCTGCTGTTATAATAATTATTATGACACTGTATCAAGCACTTTATCTGTGCCAGATTCAATGCCAGGCACTTAGATGGATAAACCCAAAACCAAACCCACTGCCGTCGAGTTGATTCCAACTCATAGTGACCCTGTAGGTCACAGTAGAACTTCCCCATAGGGTTTCCAAGGCTGTATGTCTTTACGGAAGCAGACTGTCACATCTTTCTCCCACAGAGTGGCTCGTGGGTGCACACTGCTAACTTTGGTTAGCAGCTGAGCACTTAACCCCTGTACTACCAGGGCTCCTTACTTAAGTGCATAAAACAAACAAACTGCCGTCTAGTTGTATCTGACTCATAGCGACCCCTCCTTGGGTTTCCAAGGTAATATCACTACAGAAGTAGATTGCCCAACCTTCCTTCCATGGAGTGGCTGGTGGGTTTGAACCACCAGTCTTCTGGTTAGCAGTCAAATGCTTTAGGCACTACGCCACCAGAGCTCCCACTTAAGTGTGTAAGTACATGCAATTCTCCCAGCAACTCTGTGCTCTGTGTACTATTATCCTCATGCACTTGGATACTTTTTTTTTTTTTTTAATAGTGTTACTCAGTCCTTTCAACTTAATGGAGAATTAAATTACCTTTCGTATTTGTTTTTTTACAGACACACCAGGGAGGGGTAAAATAAGGGGTATATGCTCCCTCTTTTAAGGGGAGGGTAAGGGACAGCAAAATTAAGTGACTTGCCCAAGACTGCACAGCCAGAACTTAGAAACCAACTCTTCTGATTCCAAATCCAAGTCTCTTTGTACCACTCCTCAGTGTTTTAAGATAGTAAATGGAAGTGAGTACAAGTAGAAGTAGTTGGGTCATTTATTGGGTGCTTACTGAGTCTCTGTGTAATGGATTGGAGGGATAGACAAAGATAAATAACATGGATTAGTCTGTTTCTTTCTTTCTCTCTCTCTCTCTCTCTCACACACACACACACACACACACACGAATAGGAGGCATAGGGCTGAAGAGTAGAGCAGTCATGGAGCTGACAGTGGGGGCTGCTCTCTGGTTTATAAGTTAGTACAATCCTGTTTTGTGCTATTCTGAAAGGGTGAACTGCCCCTGGTGGCCACGTGGAAGCCCAGCCCTCCCTAACCCTCCTCAGTGTCACCTTTCCAGCCTGGAAGGTCACCCAGTTTCTCTGTGTCTGCCCCAGCCCAGCCTATGGAGGCCGCCTGTGCTCAGGGCCTATGTTCGAGTACCAGGTCTGCAACAGTGAGGAATGCCCGGGGCCCTATGAGGACTTCCGTGCCCAGCAGTGCGCCAAACGCAACTCCTACTACACCCACCAGAACACCAAGCACAACTGGGTCCCCTACGAGCCTGAGGATGGTAAGCAGGCCCAGCTTCCCCCTACCACCCCATCCCCAGCAGTGGTCCCCCACCTCCCAGTTCCCCGGGGTATCTGCTGGGCCCACGTCTTCTCAGGTGAGGCCTTCACCGTTTTCCAGCTACTGCAGCCAGGGACCTACCTGGACTCACTAGTGAGGGTGGAGGGACAGCGGGAGCACTGAGAGGGACACTGAGTCAGCAGGTTACTACATACTGTTGTGTGGCCTGTTCATTGCCTACCTCTGGGGGGCACTGTCCTCATCAATGTTATTCCTGACTTGTACATGTATTATGACACTTCCCTGGCAAATGCAGGTAAAATGTCATGAGGAAGGGGCACTTTACCCCAAGGTGCCATGGAGACAGGCAGTAGTGCTGGTTGTTGGAGTTGGGTGGCTTTCAGATGTTTGTGCTTACCTGTCCATGGCACTGTACAGGTGTGGGTGCCACTCACTTTACATAACCAGTGTTCTGAAAAACTCTGTCCTATTACATACATCTTGTTATTTTAGGTATTACGAATTGTTTTCCCTGAGTGGTACAAATAGTCATTGCATTTAGCTGCTAATCAAAGGGTTTCAGTTTGAGTCCAGCCAGAGGTGTCTTGGAAGAAAGGGCTGGTGACCTACTTCTAAAAAAATCAACCAATGAAAACCCTAGGGAGCACAGTTCTACTCTCATACACATGGGGTTGCTATGAGTCGGAGTTAGTGTTTGAGCAGTCATTGAAGGTGATTTGAAGGGCAGGCAGAAGGAAGCCTGTGGGTTTCTCCTAGTGACCCTTCCAGGCTGCCCTGGGATACAGCTCTTCACCTCTCATTTAGCATCACGGAATCTTCCAGTTGGAAGGACCTGAGGCCTGTCATTGAAGCCAGAGCACAAACTCTGGAGCATCATTGGGGGGAGTGTCTTCCCTCCGCTTGGATTCCTCCCGTTCTGGGGAGCTCACCACCCCCTTGTCACTACTGACCGGCTCTCATTGCTAACCAGTGACCTGTCTGCCCAGGGTGTGTGGTCAGGGGCCTTCCTGAGTTCTAGTGGGTTTGAGCCCCAGGCGCCCCAGGAGTCTACTGCCCATGCATGAAATCCAGGCAGCTTTGGATGTTGTGGCTCCAGACTTGAGTCCCGAGTGCTGGAAACAAGAAGCCACCAAGTGACACAAGATCCCAGGGACCAGAAACAGAGAATCACTCTTTGAAATTTTGCTGAGACAGGGGCTTGCTTTGAAAGCCTTCCAGATCCGTTCAGAACCCAAACAAGCAACTGTAACATGGATGTGGAAAGGGCTGGGAGGCCAGTGGGCCAGCTGAGTTTGAGCTTTTCCCAGGACTTTGAGACAAATTCCAGGAAGTTAGCTAAGCCTTAAGTTCCTTTGTTCTAGGATACACAGCAAGTATTTATACATTCTCTGGAATCTCCTTTTTAGGATATCAATAGCCCAGATAGAGGAGAGAACATTTCATTATTAGAACCAGAAAGGACCCTCTTCCCTCCCTTACTGCTGCTCTGCAGACCACTGTTCTAGCTACTTTTACGCACCCTTCTAATGTTTACTAATGTGCTCAGACACACCATCCATCATATGCACAAGACTGGCACGACTGGTGAAGTATACGTGGGGGTCAGAGCAGGATTCGAGCAGACTGGCTCCACCACTCTCTGTGTGGCTTTGTGGCCTTGAGCAAGTTCCTTAACATCTCTGGTCCTCATTTTCCTCCTCTGTTATGCTGGAACCGACCTCTTAGGGTCTTGAGAGGTTTAAATGAGTTAATTCATAAAAGCATTTAGTGTTATGTCAAGAGTGTATAAAGTTTTGGAAGTATGCAGTACAGAGTAAGCATTTACTAAGTGTTGGCTTATTCCTTTATTATTGTTGTTATTATTTTATCACTTCATTTTTCTCAACAACCTGCTGTGGCGTTTTGCTGATCGAAGGATCTGAGGATCAGAGAAACCAGATCATTTGCCCAAGGTTAGAGGGCTAATAAATAAGTGACTTGGCAGGTATTTTTGACTCTCAAATCCACAACCAGTGCTTCTCCCACTATCCAGAGCTGGCCCTGGTCTTCCTTAATGGACCAAGTACCAGTGTCCTCCTGGGCCAGCCCCATCCTCAGAGCCCAGCTGGGGACTCAGAGTGGCTCCTCTCCCTCTAGATGGCCAGAAGTGTGAGCTGATCTGTCAGTCGGCAGACACAGGCGATGTGGTGTTCATGAACCAAGTAGTTCACGATGGAACGCGCTGCAGCTACCGTGACCTGTATAGTCTCTGCGCCCGTGGCGAGTGCGTGGTAAGTGCTCCCTGCCAAGTGCCCCACCCTCTGCCAGTACTTGAAGACCAGATGGGCTGCGTGGCCTGCCCCTATTTCTGCTCTCAAGCTAGATAAACATTGCCTTGCCTTCCCCATCATGACAACCCTTTGATCCAAAAAACCCTGGCATGCTGGAAAGGGGTTGCTGCTCAGCCCCTTGTGAGGGGAGAGGAGAGAGCAAGAACCATTACTACATCAGGCTTAAGATCTTGCCCTTGTCATGTGGTGAGTTTATGGAGTGCCCTGTTCAGAGATGCCTTTTGGTCCAGGGCTTCTCTTGTGACTGGGCACTGGGTGCACTGCTGCTAGGTGGCTGGGGCCTGAGGACTGTGAAGAGGGGCCGAGGTGGGCAGGGGACCTCTTCTCACTGCCTCCTACTTCTGACCTCAGCCTGTCGGCTGTGACAAGGAGGTCGGGTCCATGAAAGCAGATGACAGGTGTGGAGTATGTGGAGGTGACAACTCCCACTGCAGGACCGTGAAGGGAACGCTGGGCAAGGCCTCCAAGCAGGCAGGTGAGTGAGCTGCAGGTATGGGTTAGGGGACGGCCAGGAGGAGGGCTGCAGTTCTGGCCCAGCCAGAGTCCCTCAGGTGGGCCTTCCTCCTTGAGCTGGGACTTGGTGCAGGGCAGGACATGGGGCCCTGGAGCCTGTGTGAACCAGAAGCTGCAGCTAGTCGCCTAGTCTCCTGGATGTACTGCTGCCCACATTTGGGGCTCAGTAGCTCAAAGCATCGTTTTCCTGATAGGTGATGTGTTGTGGGAGTGAGGGGTCAGACAGGTCTGAAGTTGTGGCCCAGCCTAAGCTGATGATTGTATTTTCCTCTCTTCTCTCTCACCATTTTTTTTTTTTCTTCAAAACCTGCAGTGCCTCCTGCTCTGAACATCTTGTGCCTCTGACACCCCTTTTCAATTCATATCTAGCCAAACTTGATATTAAAAAGGGCCAGGTATTAGTCCTTTACACTGTAGTATGAACTGTATAATTCCCCATTGGGGATGTTACAGCTTTGCCTTGCCTCTTCTTGTGGAAGACAAAGTGGTGACTCTGAGAATGGCTAATTTCCAGGCCTCCGATGGAAAGGCCATGGGCCTGGGGCAGCCCTGCTGGATCTTCATGGCCTACTTCTTCTAAATCCTACAGTGGCTTAAAATATGAGAATAAATGGGAGACAAGAAGTCAGAGAAGGAAAGAGGAGGGGAATGGGCAGAAGTGAGTTAAAGAGGAAGGTCAAGAAAGTGGGAAATAATAGCACCTAACACACATACAGCCCTTCAGAGTTGATAGGTCTTTAAACTAGAACATCTCATTTGATCCTCACAGCAACCTGTGGAGAAAGTCCCAACCCTGTTTTACAAAAGAGGAAACAGATTCAGAGAGGTTCGGTGATCAGATGAGGTTCCTTAGAGCTTTAGAGCCCTGGGCACCTGGGAGTGGGGCTGCTGGGTGCTGGGTCCCCCACCTCAGGGTGCTCTTTTCTTTTCCGGATCCTCCTCTCTGGCAGGACCTCTCAAGCTGGTGCAGATTCCGGCAGGTGCTAGGCATATTCAGATTGAGGAGCTGGAGAGGGTCCCCCACAGCATTGGTGAGTGCTGGCATCCGAGGAGGTGTACTGGACAGGACAGGACTCTAGCGCAGATGGGATTTTGCAAACTTGAATCAGGAGGAGAGGCTCTTTTGAAATTTATTTTTAAATTGATATCAGATAGGTAGTCCATTCACATGGTTCACATTTCAAAGGTGAAAAAGGGGATCCAGGGAAGAATCCCTGTAATGGCCGTGTGCCCAGTTGCCTTCCCCAGGGGCAACCACCATTACCCATTTCTTATGCATGTGGATGCCTTTTAAAGGCAAACTGTTTTCATGGACTGTATTAGTGACTATCATTATTATTGAGGTGAATTCACATAATATTAAAAGAACTATTTTAAAGTGAATTGCATGTCATGCCACCGCAAAACATTATGGCTTGCAATAATAATTTGAATAATCTATGGGTCAGCAATTTGGGCAGGGCTCAGCTGGGTGATTCTTCTGCTAGCCTCACCTGGACTGATTGATGAGAATGCAGTCAGCTGGTAGGTCTGTTGGAAGTTGGTCTAGAACTGTCTCACCCATATGTCTGATAGTTAGTACTGGCTGTCAGCTGGGGTCATTGTTTCCAGCAGGCTGACCTGGGATTGCATGGTGTCTGTCATATGGTCCTCAGGAGTCACAAGAGAGGGCAAGCCCCAGTGTACAAATACTTTTCAAGTCTTTGCTTGTATCATGTTTTCTAATGTCCCATTGGCCAAAGCAAGTCATGTGGCCAAGCCCAGATTCAAGGTGTAGAAAAACAGACTCTTGATGGGAAAAGCAGTGAAGTAAAAATGCAAAGGGGCATGTGTACAGAAATGGGAGGGATTTGGGGCCATTTTTGCAGTCTACCACATGGACCCTTAATGATACTTAAACACATAGCAATTAACTAGGTGTCTCCCTTTATGCTTATAAAAGTTATACAACAATGAAGCCAAGGCAGATTAAAAATTAGAACCCCAAAATAAATTAAATCAATAAAATTCAAATTAAGAGCATTAATGTGAGAGATGATGTACACCAGGATCCAGAGGCAAGAATGGTTTGTTTGGGGACAGTACAGTGACCTACCTGAATGGGGAGGGTTCAGGTGGGAGGAGTGGCAGGTAGGCAAGGGTGGCCCAAGGATCCCACTAGGAAAGCCTTGAGTGTCACATTCAGAGACCCCCAAGGAAGGACTGGCTTGTGCATCTGTCGAGGGGAATAGAAATCTGTGTGACCCTCTCCCCTCATGCAGCGGTGAAGAACCAGGTCACAGGCAGCTTCATCCTCAACCCCAAGGGCAAGGACGCCACCAGCCGGACCTTCATGGCAATGGGCCTGGAGTGGGAATACGTGATGGAGGATGCCAAGGAAAGCCTCAAGACCAGTGGGCCCCTGCCCGAAGCCATCGCCGTCCTGGTGAGCCCCTGCTGCCTGCCCCACCTGGGTTGGAGGCAGGAATGTAGCTTGTGGCTAGTGTAGTGTGGCTAGTGCTGGGCCCCATGGCAGGACTCGCTGGGGAGCTGCCCACTGCGCTCCAGACCACCCTTGCTGTCCCAGCCTGCCTCCCTGGCTCACAGTCCCCACTGTCAAGCTGGTATGGGCCATTCCTGTGTCATCACCAAGCCTGGGCTAGGCTTCTCATTTGTGCCTAGAGACTCAACAACCCCATATTCTAGCATGGCAAAGGAGGAGGGAAAAAGAAATGTTTTCCGGCTGTCAGACCACAGGATGCCACATGCAGGGAGTCTGTCTTCCTTAAAGCAAGGTCAGGAGTAGGGCCTGGAGGGAACCATCTAGGGGTCAGAGGGTCATATTTTGCCCGACACTGCCAACAAGTGAGCTCACAAGGGGCTCCTTGGGCCTGTAGGACAGCTGACTGAGGGTGCTGACTGACACTGCCACAGCCTGAGAGGGAGCAAGCCACTGCCCTGGCTGGGCCACCTCTGCCCACTCCCCTACATCGAGACCCTGGGCTTGTGGAGCAGGGTTGTTGTAGACCAAGCCAGGTGGCTCTGTTTGCAATATCCTCAACTCTGGCTGGGGGCAGGGAGACCTTAGGCAGCTATAGTTCCAATGTCACCTTCACTTGTAGGGGAGGTCCTGGAGGGCAGGCATATTAATTTGATGCAGACGTGTTCCCATTTTCCTTGTACTTATTGGCCATCCAGTAAGTGTCAGGCAGTGTGGATAGTCTGGGAGGGTGGTGCTCCCGCCTCATTAGAACATAGGTCTGTGGGTGGGAGGAGCCATTCACCTCCTGGTCACACAAGTGCTCACAGGCTTGGTGCACTGCAGGTGCTCAGCCTGCCTATGCTGCACGGCCTCTGATCCAAGTGGCCTTAGCAGGACCTGCCCAGTGTGTCCTCCCTCTGGTTCTGCTCTGACCCGCTTCCTTCTCTTTGGCCCCCATCCCACTGGGCTCACTTCTCTGCTTTCCAGCCCTTGTGCCACCTCCCTGTCTCCCCTCAGGTGCTTTCCCCAGGGGAGAGTGGCCCCCGAAGCAGCCTGGCCTACAAGTACGTCATCCATGAGGACCTGCTGCCCCTTATCGGGAGCAACAATGTGCTCCTGGAGGAGACGGACACCTACGAGTGGGCGCTCAAGAGCTGGGCTCCCTGCACCAAGGCCTGTGGAGGAGGTACCGCCTGCCCAGCCTGATGGCTTTGGCTACCCAGCTGCCTTGCGGGACAGCCTGGGGCCTCTCAGAGGAGAAGGGAGCCAGGAGTACCCAGTGAGAGGCAGAGGCTAACGTTGTCTCATCTCAGAGTCCCCCTTGTTGTCCCATTCAGGTCCCTCTAGCTCACTGTTTCTGCTGCCAGAGTACGCAGCTCTTGCCTCGGTTTCTCCTTGGACATCCTTGGCAGGGCCCTTGGGACAGGGTTGGAAGTGGCTAGGTCATTATCCAGGGCAGGGCTTCTACCCTGTAAGAGCTCATGGGCTGTCCAAGGAGGCAGCTGTCCAATGCCATGTTCCCATCAGAGCCACCCTGGGCTCTGATCGAGGAAAGCCTCATTCAAAAAGTGACCTGGACAGGAGGGGGTGCAGTGGTACAGAGAGAGGTGGGGAGAGAGGTGGGATTGGCCCTCAAATTCTCTAGAAGTTACTGTCCCTGGGGCCCCAGGCAGGGCAGTGTGGCACTGGTGGACAGTGTGGCAGCCTGCCCTCCTGCCAGGTATCCAGTTCACCAAATACGGCTGCCGGCGCCGACGGGATCACCACATGGTGCAGCGGCACCTGTGTGACCACAGGAAGAGGCCCAAGCCCATCCGACGGCGCTGTAACCAGCACCTGTGCGCCCAGCCCTCGTGAGTGCTTCCGATCGCTGCCTAGGGTGTCATAGATCCTCTCCGTCTTGGCCCTAGGAGGAGGGACTGCTGATTGTGGAGGCACGCAACCCTACAGCCAGTCTCCCAGAGTGAGAACAGCAGCCCTCCCTCCCCTCTGTCCCCTCTGGGGTTTCTGGGTGATTAACTTCCACTCCCAGGAGAAAGAAGATGCTTCCTCCACTCTGCCTCTCCCAGCATTCTTTTAAGATGGGGAAACTGAGGCCTGCTTTGGAGACATGGTTTTTTTTTGTCGGTGATGTGGCTGATTCATACAGTGAAAGGGCCTCAGCGGTCCCAGGATGCAGCTCCTTTCTGTCCAGTTATCTGGGGAACAGAGGTGTGGCTGCCCCCCAGCCACCAGGCATGGTCTAGCCTTGACTGGGGCTCCTCCTGAGGAGTCAGGCTCTTTTGAGCACAAGACCATGTCCTTGGGATTATTTGGAGGGGACTTCAAGGAAAGGAAAGAGCTGTGATTTGTGGAGGAATCAAGATCAGGCTTCTTTGAGCCTGTTGCAGTCTCAGTGTCTCCTCAGCCCCACCCCAAGTCCCTTGTGTCCCTGAGGCAGAGCTGATGGTACTGGCTGGGAGGGAACTGTGGAGGACTACTCCTGTCCTGCCTCCCCAGGAGTCCTCCCCAGGTGGGGGTGGGGGTGCCTTTCAGCTTCAGTATGACAGCAGCTCCTGCTTCCTTGGCTGGGGGTGGTAGTGGGGGTATGTAGATGAAGGGCCCAGATGGGAGCTAGGGACCTTGGGCATCCCATGCTCAGCCTCAGCCCTCTGCTGCCTGGGAGACCTTCATAACCAGCCCCTCCGTGCTTTCTGGGACTTTACATTGTTACTCCAGCCATGAGAAGGGGCTGGCTTTGAAAATATGGGTGAAAGAGCCTGGTTAACTACTAAAAGATGCCTTGGGAAACTGAGGTGGGTAGGCATTGTGGCCGCTCTGCCCCTCACCCTCCAGGGCAGCTTTGCTTTTTTCTCTGAATTCGTCCAAATGGGCTTCTGCTTATGAAGCTTTTGAGGATATTTGAACAGGGGATTGTGGCCAGAAGACGTCTGGAGACTGTGAGCTTAGGTGATCACAGCGAAAGCTCTGTGGTGACATGATGAAGATGCTAATGATGCTATTATTAAGTGCTTACTGCCTGCCACAAAGAGCCATGATGGTGCAAATGGTTAAGTGCTTGACTGCTAACCATAAGGTCAGCGGTTCAGATCCACCCAGTGACTCTGAGAGAGAAAGACTTGGAGATCTACTTCCATAAAGGTTGCAAACTAGAAACCCTATGGGGCAGTTCTTCTCGATCACATGGGGTCACTCTGAGTTGGACTCAATGGCTCCTAACAACATAACATGCTAGGCATGCTGCCAAGTTCTTATAGATAGGAAGTTTTTTAATTGTCCCAAGGACCTCATCAAAGAGAGAGTATTCTGTTATCTTCGTAGGGCAGTGGCTTTCATCTGGTTTGGGCACTGATCTCTCTCAGCACCTAGGACAGTACCTGCACACATGAGACACTCGAATATGGATGGGGTGTTGAAAGAATCCTGATTTAAAGATGGGGTCACTGAGGGTTGTCCCTGGGTGGCGCAAATGATTTGTACTCACCTACTAACCTAAAAGTTGGCGGTTCGAATCTACCCAGTGGTGCCATAGAAGAAAGGCCTGATAATCTGCTTCCATAAAGATTATAGCCAAGAAAATCTTATGAAACTCAGTTCTACTCCATTAACACCTGGGGTTGCCATGAGTTGGAATCAACTTGAAGGCAATGGGTTTGTATTTTTTGTTTTATTTTGTTTTGGTGTAACTGAAGCATAGAGGCATGAGTAGCTTGCCCAAGGACACTCAAGGTGCCAGGATTTAAATCTGCCCTATACTCATTTTTCAGATGAGGAGAACAAGAGCAGGAGGGAATAGTGCCCTCCCTAAGGCCACCGAGCCAGGCAGCTACAGAGCCGGGTGACAGTTGTCTTGGCCCCTAAGCATCCTGAAGCTGAACACCACACTCTGGTTCCTGCCTGCAGCTTTTCTGGGGGGTGGGAGATTGCCTCCTGGGAGAAAGTGTCTCATGGTCTTATCTCTCCTCCACCTTCTGCCCTGTCTGTCTTCAGGTGGGTGACAGAGGAATGGAGCACCTGCAGCCGGAGCTGTGGGAAACTGGGGGTACAGACTCGAGGTGTGCAATGCATGCTACCTCTGCCCAACAGCACCCACAAGGCCATGCCAGCCAAGGCCTGCCCCGGGGACCGGCCTGAAGGCCGGCGGCCCTGCCTCCGCGTGCCCTGCCCAGCCCAGTGGCGCACTGGAGCCTGGTCTCAGGTGAGTGGGAGAGTCTGGGCCAGATGGATGCCTTCTAGGAGGTTGGAGAAGAGGTGGTCTAGGTCAGGGAAGAGGAAGATGGGGGGATGGTGGCAGTGTTGAGGGTGTGACAGATAGCTCCCTGCAGGCAAAGAGCTTCTGGCTAAATTTCTTTCTCTGCAGATCAGATTTGGTTCTTTCCAATGCTATGCTACACTGTGTAAAAACATTAAGTTATTGTCCCCTTTGAGCTCCCACAGAGCTACGAGGCATGGCTTATGGCTAATGGCCCCACATTATAGATGATAAATTAAAGTATGTTCTTTCATTCAAGAAATATTCACTGAGCACCAGCTGTATGCCAGATAATTGCACTAGGAGTGGCAGGAATCCAACATCAACCGGACAGACTGGTTCTTACCCTCATGGAGTTCACAGTCCAGCTAGGGGCACACACTAGACAAGTGAACCAATAACACAAGCACTTAGAGTGTGGCAGTGCTGGCAGCAGATGACAGGGTAATGAGATCTAGAGTGGAGGGCAGTCAGGGAGGTCTCTCTGGGGAGGTGGCATTTGAGCTGCGATGGAGGGATGAGCAATAGGAAGAGGGAACAATGGGCAAAGACCCTAAGGCAGAAACAACCTGCAATGTTCCAGAAACCAAAAAGAACAGTGGGGCTGGAGGTTAATGGGAGGGGAGGGGGCTCCCAGATGACACTGAAAAGGTAGGCAGTAATAAATGGTGCAGGGCCTTGTAAGAAGTTATTCTAAGAACATGGGAACTTATTTGTATTTGTTTCCTAAGGGCTCCCATAACAAAGTACCACAAACTGAATGGCTTCGCACACCAAAAAACAAACCAAACTCACTGCCGTCAAGTCGGATCCAACTCATAGCGACTCCTCCTTGGGTTTCCCAGGCAGTATCACTACAGAAGTAGATTGCCCAACCTTCCTTCTAGAGGAGTGGTTAGTGGGTATGAACCACCAGCCTTCTGGTTAACAGTCACATGTCTTAGGCACTATGCCCAAAATCAAGGTGTTGGCAAGGCCACGTTCTCTCTGAAGGCTCTAGGGGAAGATCCTTCCTTGTTTATGCCTGGCTTCTGGTGGAGTAGTTCCCATGGTTCCTGGCACTCTTTGGTGTCCTTTGGCTTGTAGATGCATCACTCCAGTCTCTGTCTCCATCTTCACACGGCCTCCTCTCCTATGCGTCTTCTCTTTTTTTAAGGACACCACTCCTATCGGATTAGGGCCCTCTGGTAGCATAGTGCCTAAGGCACTTGACTGCTAACCAGAAGGCTGGTGGTTCAATCCCACCAGCCACTCCTTGGAAGAAAGGCTGGGCAATCTACTTCCGTAGTGATACTGCCTCGGAAACCCAAGGAGGGGTCACTATGAGTCGGGTCTGACTCGACGGCACATAACAACAAACAATTCCAGTATGGTCTCGTGTTAACCTAACTACATCTGCAAAGGCCCTAGTTCCAAACAAGTTTGTGTTCACAGGTACTGGGGTTTAGGACTTCAACGTATTTGGGTAGTGGGGATACAATTCAGCCCATAACAACACGGGAGGGTTTTAAAGCAGATGTTACAAGCTCTGATTTCAGGTTTCAAGGATCACTTTGATAGCACTCTAGAGAGTTCATTGTTGGGAGGCCAAGGTGAAAAACAGGAGACAGACAGTTAGAAAGCTGTTGAGTGAGCCAGATCCGAGTTGCTAGTGGCTTGGGCCCTGGAAGTTGCCACAGGGGATTTTTTTTTTTAATGTCTTGGGTTTTATCTTAAAATTCATTTTATCAGTGCAACAAGTGCATGATGCTATTGTAATAGCAAAACACTAGGAAACATGTAGGAGCTCTGGTGGCATAGTGCCTAAAGCATTTGACTGCTAACCAGAAGGCTGGCTATTCAAACCCACCAGCCACTCCTCAGAAGGAAGATTGGGCAATCTACTTCCCATAGAGATACCACCTCGGAAACCCAAGGAGGGGTCACTATGAGTGAATCGACTTCACAGCAGTGAATTTGTTTTTGAGTTTGAGGATATATGCGGAAGTTGATCTAGAAGAGATTAGGCAAAGAAATCAGAGTCTGTTCATACAGTAGAATACTACACAGCAAAAAAACCGAATATATTTGAACTATAGTTGTTCATATAGATAAATCAGAAACATAAATTTAGGTGAGGAAAAGCACTGACATCTATCTGATTCTTCCAGTGGGGTGCCATTTACTTGAAGTTTAAAAAGACACAGAACAATATTTGAAAATGTGCCAGAATGTTGATTTATTAAAGCATTTGCATGGGCTTTCTTTCACTTCTTCTCTATACTTTTCTGAATGTTTAAAATATTGTGTAATAAAAACAGTCAGTAAATAACCCCAAATCCCCACCCAACTCCTACATATTTTGTATTTTTCTCCATAATATGTAGCTTTGTTTTAATAGAAAGCAGAAAGATTTTGGGTCCACAAAGGACCCCAGAGACAAAATGAACAGAAAGATGACAGGTTGTGGGAGATGTTGCCACTTCTAAGACCAACAAAGCACTTTGTAATTCATCTTGGGAGGGTAAGACAGGTTTTGCAGGGTGTGACCCCTCGTGCCTACCTCAGATAATCTCTGGCTCCAGTATGAGAGGTGGGGCCCTGCAAGTTGTTTTTCACCCAGCTGGGAGATGCCATGCCCAGTGTCTAGATAGCCTAGTGACCTGGTCACACTGGGCAACCTTTCTTTTCTGGAGTCCCAGCCGCTTAGTACCTTACACTATCCAATTATTGGAATAAGAAGTGTGCAAGGTCCAGGACATGGTGTCGGGAGGTAGCCCTTGCAAATGATCATGTGTTTATCTTCTGCTCCTTGTACCTCCTTCCCCATTTGGTATGGAAGACTCTTTTGAAAGTGCCTCTGCCAGCTGAGTTTTGGTCAATCAAGTCACATAGTCATTGAATGTCAGAGCTGTAAAAGTCTGTGGAGACCCTACCACTCAACTCTCTTGGTTAATAGAGTTGGAAACTGAGCCAGAGTGACAGTGGGTGCCAGAGTCTGGGCCCTTCCATCCTGTCAACAAGAGATCATCAAGGAGGTAGACCTGCCCATGTCATGCAGTGTGGTGAATTGCAACAAGGAGGTTTGCCAAGGTGATACACAAGAGAGTTCACTACCCAGACAGAGGCAGATGCCATGGATATAGGCAGTGTCCATGTGCCAGGGGACCTTTAGATCATGGAAGAGTCCACGGGGTTCTAAACTCAGGTCGGTGGTTATTTACCAACTGGTACAGGAGTATTTGACATTTGACTGCCAGAAGGCTGGCAGTTCAAACCCACCAGCCACTCCTCAGAAGGAAGATTGGGAAATCCACTTCCATAGTGATACTGCCTCAGAAACCCAAGAAGGGATCGCTATGAGTCAGATCCGACTGGAAGGCAGTGAGTTTGGTTTGATTTGGTATGGTGTCCTGGCATGGCTCTTTAGAAGTCCTTGCATGCCCCTTCTGGCCAAGGGAAGAATTGCCTTTCCTTTGTTCCCTTTCTGTGCCTGGGTATTGGCTGTACTTTGGAGCTCACTGTCCTTTTCCTCTGTCCCTCCACCTCCCTTTGGCACCATGGCCTGGCCTTGGTCCTCCCGTGGACAGTGTTCCTCCACCTGTGGAGAGGGCATCCAGCAGCGACAAGTGGTGTGCCGGACCAATGCCAACAGTCTGGGGCAGTGTGAGGGGGACAAGCCAGACACTGTCCAAGTCTGCAGCCTACCTGCCTGTGGAGGTGAGCCAGATGGGATGGGGGGCAGGCCAAGCTCCTGGCCTAGACTGACACCCAGCCCCACCTTGCATCCTTGCCCCCTAACTACCAGTTGTCATTGAGTTAACTCCAATTCATGGTGACCCCATGTGTTTCAGAGTAGAACCGTACTCCATAGGGTTCTTAATGGCTGCTGCTGCTGCTTTTTAAAAAATTTTTATTGTGACTTTGGTGAAAGTTTACAGAGCAAATTCACTTTCTCAATGGCTTCTTTTTCAGAAATAGATTGCCAGGCCTTTCTTCTGAGGTATCTCTGAATGAACTCAAACCTTCAACCTTTCAGTTAGCAGCTCAGCTCATTAGCCATTTATACCATCAGGGACTCCCCTCACCCTCTGCAGTCCTGAATACTAGAGCCCCCAGCCACAGTATTACTTTTCTCCTTGCTCATAGGAGGTGTCCAGAACTCCACAGCAAAGCCTGACATCAGGGAACTTGTCACCCCAAAGTGGACCCCACCATCTGGGCCCCTCCATCCTGTTAACAAAATATCATCGAGTAAGTACATTCTCTGGACCCCGCCCCCCTCCTCAAACCTTCAAGGCCAGGGGGTCATGAGTGAAGGCCATAGAGTCAAGGTGACCCCCAGCTTCCATTCTGTCTGTGTGACCTTAACCCAGGTACTTAGCCTCCCCGAGCCTCAGATGTCTGACTGTGAACTGAGAATAATGATAGTCAAAACCAATTGCCATCAAGTCAATTTTGACTCATAGCGACTCTGTAAAGAACAGAGTAGAACTGTCCCATAGCGTTTCCAAGGCTGTAAATCTTTATGGAAGCAGACTGCCACATCTGTCTTCCATGGAGCGGCTGGCTGGTGGGTTCAAACTGTCGACCTTTTGGGTTGCAGCTGAACACTTAACCACTGTTTCTTATGATGGTAGTACTAGTTCACAGTCCTTTCTGTGCAATTCCAAAATGCTAAAAACTCTGAAGATGGAAAGGTTTTTCCTAAGTTTGGTACAGACTCATTTGATGCCAAAGTCTGATCTGAACTAATAAGAGAATTTATTCCTTTACTGCAGAAACATTGCCTTATTTGTTCACAAGATGATGGCCCAGACTTAGACAAAACTGGGCATGCTATGTAATGGACAACATATGCAATATGAACACTCAGCATGTGACCTTGGGAAACCCTCAGAATTCTGAATTCTGAATCACATCTGGCACTGATATTTTTGGATAAATGTTTGTAAACCTGAGCCGTCTTCATAGGGCCCTTGAGAGGATTAAATGAGATAATGCTGCTGTGCTCAGCTAACAACAACAACTTCCCTGCTTCATAATCAGCCCATCAGGTCATCCTCCCATCCATCTATCCATCCATCCATCCACCCACTTAATATTTACTGAGCATTGCTGAGTGCCAGGCACTGTGTTCTATGTTTCCTTTCTAGGTTCCTTCTCTTTTTTTTCCTTCCTCACCTCCCCAACGACCAGGGTCTGGCAAGATCATAGGCCTTAACTCATTCTTAGAGGACCAGTTGGCTGAATGTTTTCGTATAGATCCCGTAACCTCTCTGAGCTCAGCGACCTTATCTGTTAAGTGAAAAGGTTGGACCAGAATGGCCTCAAAAGACCTTCTGGATGCACCCTGGCAGCTTCTTTGCTCCTTCAGGTGCAAGTTCCCAGGTTTCTCCTAAGAGCTGGGGATGGGACCAGATTTCCCATTCTGTTCTGGAATTCTGGCGCCGTCTAGTGGCCACTGGCTTGCCATTTTCTCTCATCTTTCCCTGTTGCTCTAAACCTCTCTCTGTCCTGGGCAAAAAATAGTTGAAAGCAGAACTCCTGCCCTCACCTTCTGTCTGAAGAGAACCCACACTACTCTCCCTGGGGAAGTCACAGACATATTTTGAAATGGTATTTTAAGCAAAGGAAAGGAAAGTAGTAGAGTGAGCACTCCTCTACACCAGGCACTTCCTATAAGTTATGTCATTAAAACTCAACCCAATTCACTGCCATAGAGTTGATTTGGATTCTTAACAACCCTATAGGACAGAGTAGAAACCATAGGGTTTCCAAGGGTGTAAATCTTTATGAAAGCAAACTGCCTCATCTTTCTCTCACGGAACAGCTGGTGGGTTTGAACCACTGACCTTTTGGTTAGCACCCAAATGCTTTAACTACTGTGCCACCAGAGCTCCTTTGATGTCATTATTCACTAGGAAATGCAGCATTATCCCCATTTCTTTAGTGTGAAGAGACTATGGCTTGGAGAGTTTAAGTTACTTGCTTGAGACTTTACAGCTTTTAAGTGGTGGAGCCTGGATTTGAACCTAAATGTGCTTGATTCCAAATTTATTGGTGGAGGGCTTAATTTTTCCATTGGTGATAGGCTACTTAATCTACTTGACACTGTAGACTGTGTGAGTCACCTGGGGGTTTGCTGCCTCTGGTGAGAGTGGATCAGACTCCTCTTCCATCTAGAGCAAAGTTCTTAGACTTTGCTGTGCATTAGCATCACCTGGAAAGTGTCTAAGAAACCCAGTGCCAGGGCACAGCCCCTACTGCTCAGGCTCTGAGAGTGGGAGCTAGACACGGGTTATTGGTAAAACTCCTGCTTATTCTAGAGTGCAGTCAACTCTGAGGATGAACATTGCAGGGCAGTTGTTCTAAGATTTTAGCATGCATCAGAATCACCTAGAGGGTTTTGTTAAAACACAGTGCTGGGCCCCACTCCCAGAGTTTCCAGTTTAGGAGGCCTGGATGAGGCTGAGAATCAGCATTTCTAACATGCTTCCAAGTGGTGCTGATGCTGCATGTCTGGGGCTCTGCTTTAAGAACTACTGCTCTTGGAGATTCTAGTTCCTCTTGCTGCTGATAAGGGCTCTCCTGTTGAGCTTGGTCTCTTTCAGGCAGCCTGCCCCTGCTGGGAAAGAGCATTATAGTGAGTCCAGCAGGAAAAGGGGCTGGAGGATCAGCAGTTGGTAGGGTGAGTGAGAGGTGGGTACCTGGGTCCCTGCATCAGGCTGATGAGAGCTCTGTGTTTTCTTCCTGGCACTGGTCCTTGTGCCATGTGTGCAGCGGAGCTCTGTATGGGGGACAAGTCCATCTTCTGCCAGATGGAGGTGCTGGATCACTACTGCTCCATCCCCAGCTACCACCAGCTCTGCTGTGAGTCCTGTACCAAGAAGGAGCCTGGCCTGGCCTCACCACCACCCTTCTCCACCCCTGGGAACCCTTTCCCAGGACCCAAGTCCCTTCCAGATGCTGTGGAGCCCACAGGGGGACCACCAGAACCAGACGGTCATCAGCTTGGTCTAACCACACAGCTTCCAGACCTTCTGGACACAAGTTCCTCTGTGACCCAGCACCGCCCTGCCCCCCAGAAACTGAGCACTAGAGCATCCTGGGGCACCTCGCTTACCACGCTCCAGGGATGGCCTTGGGGCTGGACTGAGGCACCAATATCAGCCTCTGAGAATAAAGCGCAGCCCAAAGAAGACCGGAAGCCTGCAGGCACTGGCCACCCCACCACCTCCCTGGTGACTTGAGCTGCTGTTCCCATTCCACTAGTCAAGTTTACAGGTCTCATGCAGCCTCAGTGACAACCCCACCTCAGAACACACCTAGTGGACGGGGCCAGCACAGGCTTCCTTTTAAATTATTTGCCTCCTTGTTCTTCTTCGGGGCTGTGATATTCTTCACCCCATGAAAGGGTGTGAGGAAGGAAAAGATCAGGGAAAGCTCTAACCTGAGATACCTCAGCAAGCAGTGCCAGGTGGCAGAATTGAGCCTCTCAGGGTCAGCTCATGTCCCCTCGTCACAGGGCTGCCCGCCTTCACCAGGGCTCCTGGGAAGCCTGTGGAGGCCCTCTCTCTCTCTGGCCCCTCTGCAAAAGGCAAAGTGAGGCCAGGGAAGGTGGAGGGGGCAGTTCACAGAGCAGCTTGAGATGAAGAGGTGGCTAGGGGTGAATGTGGTCCTGTGGGTCCTCACTGCCCACCCCCCAGCAGGGTTGTGAGGACAGGATGACGAGTTCATCTCAGACCCAGCTCTGCTGGCCAAGGCCAGGGGGCAGAGTCCACTTGCCTTGACCGGCTGGAGGGCAAAGCTGTGTCTATACTCTATCCCTGCAGACATCACTCTTCTTCCTTCTGACGACTCCAGGTCACAGGCTGGCCTCTGGGCAAGCAGATTTGCTCCCCACTAACCAAACTGACTAGAGAAAGGGTTCAGGATACTTGGAACTGTGTTGTCATCAGCCAGGTATTTCTAAACTGGTGCTTGGCCCCTGGCTGGACCAGCAGTGGCAACCTTTATCATCATTCTGGGGTTCAGGGTAGTCTGGCCCAGAAGGTGACTGTGACGCAAAGGGGAGTTCTTGGGCTGTGTCAGGCCCTTCCCACTGTCTGCCAAGGAACACTCCTGCTGGAGTCAGGCATCTTCTACCACCTGGCTCAAGCTTGGCCAGAGGTTTGTGGTGCTTTGAGGGGTGGTCAGGCCCCAGGGCTGAGGACCAGGGTGTCCACTCATAGCTGGGCCTGTGGGTGACAGGTGGAGTGCCCAGGATCGGTCTGGCGCCTCCACCTGACACACCGGCCAGGAGACCACTGTCCCCAGCACTGCAGGGCCTCAGCCATGCTCAGCTGCCCTCCGTGTTACCTGCAAGGGGTAGGTAACACCCTTAGACACTCTGGTTCTCAGGAAGCTGCTTGGGCTCCCAGGATACCTCTCAGGAGTCCTTACTCCCAGAAGTCATAGAGTGGGCCTCTCAGAGCCCTCACCAGGTGATAGCGGTGCTTATCATCCTTCCTGCTCTAGGGGCCTGCTGCCCTTAGCAGAGAGGGGACTGTTCAGAGCTGACTTGAGGAGTTGGAGCAGTGGAGCCCCTTGGACAATAGAGACCTCAGAGGTGCTCCCCCAGGCTTTCCCTGAGCTATCCTCCATCTCTGGGATGTTGGTGCACACATCGAATCATTCATGTAAGAACCCAGCCTGACCTATATTATGTTCGATGTGTAAGCTCTGTGCCTTTGAGATCCAGATGTTTTAAATTTTAAGTATTTATTAACATTGTCCTTGGTGCTTTGTTTTGAACCCTATAAAGATGTGTTGTGTGTTTCTTTTCTTTTTATCTCTGTTTTAGGGGAAAGGGACAACAAAGTCAGATCTCTTAATGTACTGGGCAGTTAGCAAGATTAGTGGGGATAGGGGATGGGACGGGGAGGTGACTGGAGTTATAAGAGGGCTTCACCCCCAACCCCTCTGAACTTGGCCTCTCACTCTGAGGCTCCTCTATGTCAAGTGAGTTCCAATGCATGCTGAACCCATGTGTGTCAGAGTAGAGCTGTGCTCCATGGCTGACATTTGGGCAATAGATGCCAAGCCTTTCTGCCAAGGTGCCTTTGGGTGGACTTGAACCTCCAATCTTTAGGTTAGCAGCCAAGCCTTTACCATTTGTACCACACAGGGATTCCACACACCTAGTAAAATGGCTAAAATTAGAAAGATTGGCCACATCAGCTGTTGGGAGACTATTGAGCATCTGGAACTCACGTGCACTGCTGGTGGGAATGCAACATGGTTCAGCGACTTTGGAAACCATTTTGACAGTTTCCTGTATAATTAAACATGCACTTACCATACAAGCAAGCAATCCCTCCTTTATGTATTTTCACAAGGGAAGTGAAAACCCTTTTTCACTAAATGACCTGTATGCAAATGTTCATAGAAGTTTATTCAAAATTGCCCCAAACTGGGAACCACCCAAATGCACATCAAATAATGAATGGATAAACCAGTAAGTGCATACAATGACTTACCACTCAGCAATCAAATGAATGAACTAGTGATGCAGGCATAGTGATGCAGGCATGTATAAATTAACTTGGATAAATCTAAAAAGCTTTATGCCAGGCCCGAAAGAGCACACACTGTGGTTCTGTTTATGAGGTAGTATGAAAAGGCAAAACCATAGGGACAGGAAAAACTGTAGTTGCTGGGGATAGGGAAAAGGATTGACTTGACCCCTCTGAACGGAACTGTTTGGCATGATAAGAATGTTTCATATATTGATTTTGGTGGTGGTAACACACTCATACTGTTATGGGTTCAATTAAAATAATAGACACTATAATGTCCACCTTTGGGTAAAAGAGTTTATTTAGGCTCGCCGACTGCAGGGAGCTGAAACATGTTCCTGTGCTGCAGCAACAAGTCTGATTTTAGGTAGGCTTTATAAAGCCAAAACGCAAGCAGGCAAGCAATGATAATACAGAAACAGATGCTGCAGTTTCAAGGACTCAGAGTACGTGCTCTAGCACAGGCATTCATCAGGGGGTGAGGGGAGTTAGTTCTGATAACCACCTTAGAGTACGTGCTCTAGCACAGGCATTCATCTAGGGGTGTTTTAGTTGTTTAATATGCAAAAAGGCGGGGAGTACCCCTTAACCCATGGGAAGTGAGAGCAAGATGAGATGGTTACTTCAGTTACATAAAATGAAGTTTTAGTAAGATATTGCCAGTTATAGCTGGACACTACAAAAACAGAGTTACAAAGTGGAGTCGCTCACTTCATTCCCTGATGTTTTTGTTTGAGAATCAAATCATTGATTCATTATTTATTTCCTTTATATTTTTTCATACCAGGGCCAGTGTTTCTTTGATTACTCCTGTTTTATTAGTATTAGTGACTATACATGAGTAACTCTTTTTTTACTCTGGGATATACGAAGGTACACAATTTTATTTTAAAACTCAAAGTTTAAGGTCATCACGCTGAGTGGCCTTGAAGGCCACTTGCCCTATGGTACCTTCAATTACTGTTCATTGAAACTGGGTGGGGGATACTTTTCAGTAAAAATCCTGTGACCAACATGTACATAAACATAAGTAAGTTAAGACTGCGAAACAGGGGAACGAGACAGTCTTAGCTTGAAAGGTTGATTGGGGTCCTTGAAGATTTGCCATTGCAAGTCGGGAGGTGCCGGCTTCAGATGCATGTGATGAATCCACAGTGTGAGGTCATTCACTTTCACGGCTGCGGGTATAGTCAAAACTACAGTGTAAGGTTCCTTTCAATGCGGGGTTGATTCTGTAGCAGTGTGTCTTTTCACCAGGTTTAGTCCTCCTGGCTGGTAATGGTGTAAGAGTTCAGTAAGGGTGGAGGGTGTTGGTTCTGGGAATCCAGTCATTGCACTTCCAATCGCCTGGATAGAAGCTAGGGAGGGAAGTGTCTGTAGGACACAACAACCTGCTGGAAGTAAACTGGTTAGTGTTGCAGATAAAGGTTGTACATGTTTTAAAATATTTAATTCTTTAACAGTTTTTAAGGTTTCCCTTTCCTGCATAACTAGGATGTCACGCTCCAGAAATGGTCTCCCATATAATATTTTATATGAGCTTAACTTAAGCCTGCTTCTGGGGGAAATCCAGATCCGTGACAAGGTAAGTTAAAGTTTTATCTAAGATAAGTTGGTTTCTTTTAGTCAGTGTTTTAATAGGGTTGACTCACCTCTGCTCCTTTTCCGTGCTTCAGGGAAAGGTTTCCACCCATCCAGTGAAAGTATTTATAAATACTAATAGGTATTTCATTTTTCAGGAGTTAAAAATTTACCTGCCAGTCCTCGCATAGGCTCAGTCCTCTTGTTTGAATTCTTTTTACCACTGGAGGTGGACTGCCCTTTGCATTGTT